AGGAGGAGGAGGAGGAGGAGGAGGAGGAGGAGGAGGAGGAGGAGGAGGACCTCCTCATCCTCCCTTCTCCCCCGTCCTACACATGGTAGCGGTGGTGGAACATTTGCCCATCACAGGCCTCCCCGAGCTCCACGGAGGCTCTGCGCCTGGCAGCGCGGAGGCCCAGCTCCCCAGGCTCCACCAGGCTGCCGCCGCCCTCCTCTGAGACGACGCCAGGACGAGGATAACTTCGGGTGAGGATCCAGGGCAGTTTTCACTACATAGGATTTTTTAGACATAAGATTTTGATACATGATTAATACATGAATAAATTTATGCATGAACTCATCGTTGTTTTTAATACTAAATCCCCGCATTTTCCCGGAAAGGGCTCAGGCCCAGGGTTCTCTTTTAGTAGGTAAACCTGTCCCCCGGTGCCAACTTGAGGGAGGCCGGCGAATTTTTTCCCTGATAAATAACGAGGTCGAAGGAGGCCGGCGAATTAAAATCTGAGGATGTCTCGAGCGAAACGCTTGTTTTTGAAATCCCGATCGATAAATCACAGGGTGCGGGGCACTTTTTCGCGCGTTGAGGATGTCTCGAGCGAAACGCTTGCTCCGCAGAGTTTGCCGAGGATGTCTCGAGCGAAACGCTTGTTTTGCAGAGCCGACCGCGACGCGGAAAGCGCCCCGCGCGAAGGAATTTCGATGATGTCTCGACTAATTCCTTTGTTTTTGTACGATTTCCTGGAATTTTGGCAGGATGTCTCGAGCGAAATGCACGACCCACCCTAGCACGACCATACCCCAGCACGACCACACCCCAGCACGACCAGACCCCAGCACGACCCCACCCCAGCACGACCCCACCCCAGCACGACCATACCCCAGCACGACCACACCCCAGCACGACCCGACCCCAGCACGACCCTACCCAGCAAGACCACACCCCAGCACGACCCTACCCAGCAAGACCTCACCACAGCACGACCACACCCCAGCACGACCACGCCCCAGCACGACCACGCCCCAGCACGACCACGCCCCAGCACGACCACCCCCCAGCACGACCACCCCCCCAGCACGACCACCCCCGAGCACGACCACCCCCCAGCACGACCACCCCCCAGCACGACCACTCCCCAGCACGACCACACCCCAGCACGACCACACCCCAGCACGACCACACCCCAGCACGACCACACCACAGCACGACCACACCCCAGCACGACCCGATCGATAAATCACAGGGTGCGGAGCACCCCAGCACGAACCCACCCCAGCACGACCCCACCCCAGCACGACCCCACCCCAGCACGACCACGCCCCCGCACGACCACACCCCAGCACGACCACACCCCAGCACGACCACTCCCCAGCACGACCCCACCCCAGCACGACCCCACCCTAGCACGACCACACCCCAGCACGAACACACCCCAGCACGACCCCACCCCAGCACGATCACACCCCAGCACGACCCCACCCCAGCAAGACCACACCCCAGCACGACCGCACCCCAGCACGACCTTACCACCGCACGACCACACCCCAGCACGACCACGCCCCAGCACGACCACGCCCCAGCACGACCACGCCCCAGCACGACCACGCCCCAGCACGACCACGCCCCAGCACGACCACCCCCCCGCACGACCACCCCCCCAGCACGACCACCCCCCAGCACGACCACCCCCCAGCACGACCACACCCCAGCACGACCACTCCCCAGCACGACCACACCGCCTGGGTTGAGTGGTTGCCTGTCGTCGTGGAATGTTTCGTGGGGTGTCTCGTGGAATGTTTCGCGGGGTGTCTCGTGAAATGTTTCGTGAGGTGTCTCGTGGAATGTTTAGTGAGGTGTCTCGTGGGCTGTTTCGTGAGGTGTCTCGTGGGATGTTTCGTGAGGTGTTGCCCAGTTGGGTATCATGAAAACGTGTCCATGCTCCACATGTATATATCCCTTTCCGGGTTCGTGGGTCCATCATGTTTAATACATGATCCGCACGCGGAGCATATATAAAAAACGGCACTGTACATCGAGCATCTCTGAGATCCGGCGGTTCTGGAGGATGTCTCGGGCGCCGCGGCCTCCTCGGAGCGTTCCGGAACGCTCTGAGAGCGTTCCCGAACGCTCTGCCCAAACCCCCGACGTCGTGATTTTATCATGGCGTGACACCCCAGAGCCTGGGCCCCTTCCCGGGGACCGGTTTTTCATCCAGAACCGTTTTTTCCCGGAAAGGGCAAAGGCCCAGGGTTCTCTTTTAGTATGTAAACATGTCCCCGGTGCCCAACTTGAAGGAGGCCGGCGAAATTTTTCCCTGATCAATATCGAGGTCGAAGGAGGCCGGCGAAATTATTTTTGAGAATGTCTCGAGCGAAACGCTTGTTTTTGAAATCCCGATCGATAAATCACAGGGTGCGGGCCACTTTTTCGTGTGTTGAGGATGTCTCGAGCGAAACGCTTGCTCCGCAGAGTTTGCCGAGGATGTCTCGAGCGAAAAGCTTGTTTTGCAGAGCCGACCGCGACGCGGAAAAGCGCCCCGCGCGAAGGAATTTCGATGATGTCTCGACTAATTCGTTTGGTTTTGTACGATTTCCTGGAATTTTGGCAGGATGTCTCGAGCGAAATGCACGACCCCACCGCACGACCACGCCCCAGCACGACCACACCCCAGCACGAACACACCTCAGCACGACCACACCCCAGCACGACCACACCCCAGCACGACCAGACCCCAGCACGACCCCACCCCAGCACGACCCCACCCAAGCACGACCATACCCCAGCACGACCACACCCCAGCACGACCCGACCCCAGCACGACCCTACCCCAGCAAGACCACACCCCAGCACGACCACACCCCAGCACGACCTCACCACAGCACGACCACACCCCAGCACGACCACGCCCCAGCACGACCACGCCCCAGCACGACCAGGCCCCAGCACGACCACCCCCCAGCACGACCACCACCCCAGCACGACCACCCCCCAGCACGACCACCCCCCAGCACGACCACACCCCAGCACGACCACTCCCCAGCACGACCACACCCCAGCACGACCACACCCCAGCACGACCACACCCAGTCGCACCCCCGTGGAATGTTTCGTGGCGTGTCTGGTTGAGTGGTTGCGTGTTCGTGGGGTGTCTCGTGGAATGTTTCAAAGGGTGTCTCGTGGAATGTTTCGTGAGGTGTCTCGTGGAATGTTTCGTGAGGTGTCTCGTGGGATGTTTCGTGGGGTGTCTCGTGGGATGTTTCGTGAGATGTCGCCCAGTTGGGTATCGTGAAAACGTGACCATGCTGCACATGTCTTTATCCCTTTCCGGGTTCGTGGGTCCATCATGTTGACAGCCCCGAGGCCCAGCGAGGGCCCCTGGAGGCCCAACACAGCTAAACACCTCCCGTCGTGATTGCTTCACAACGCGAGGCGGCCTGGGCGGAACGGACTTCTCCTCGCCCTAGCCCCGTCCGATCCTCCCCCTCCACCGCCTGCTCGGCCTTGACGGCAGCCCACCCTCCGGACGGGGCCAGCCCGTCCGCGAGCCCGAGGTGCCCACCGCCGCCGCCCGCCCCGCCCTCCGCCTTGCAGCGCAGAGCGGCTCCGGCCGTGGCCTGCGCGAGCTCCGCCCTCGCCGCGGCCTCTGGGCGCGGGCCCTCGAGCAGATCGATCACCTCCACCGGGAGGTCCTCCTACGTAGAGGACTCCCGCGTGAGGATCGAGCATGTGGGGTCGGAGGATCGCGCCGCATCTCCGACGCATCGCCGACGCGTCGGCGATGCCTCGGCGACGGGTCGGCAAGACAGCGGCTGCGTGGAGAAGCTCGGACCTCGCATCGGGCCGCATCCGGCGATGACACGGCGGCGATGCGGCGCGATCCTTCGACCCCACCTGCTCGGACCCCGTGCGGGAGGCCTGGGCTCCTCCACGTAGGCCCCGGTGGCGGGGTCGTAGGTCAGGCCCGTGGACCTCGCAGGCCGTGCCGCGGGCCCCTCAGCCTCCGCCGCCTCCTCCTCCTCCTCCTTCGGCCACTCGCTGGCCCTCTGCCGGGCGAGGGCGCGCGCCTGCCGCGAGACGGGCGGCGCCGACGGCCCCAGGGCCGCCGCGGCCGTCTTGCAGCCGACGCGCAGCTTCTGCGCCACGGCCCGGTGGAAGGACGCCAGGCAGTCGCTGAGCGCGGCCTGCAGGGCCCGCAGCTCGTCCTTGCTGCACTCCGCGCAGAAGCGCAGCTGGCGCACGCCCGTGGCGGGCGGCCCCGGCGGCCTCCACGGCGGCGCCGAGGCGGCCTCCACGGCCTCGCTGTGCGCCTGGAAGCCCTGGATGCCCAGCTCGAACAGCAGCGTGGCCAGCCGCGACCCAGCGGCGACCTGGCCGTCCGCGCCCCCAAACGCGGCGTGGAGGTCTGCGCGGTAGACGCTCCTTGCGCCCTGCAGGGCGCGCTCGGACTCGGACCACACGGCCGCGCCGCCCGACTCGGCGACGCAACGCGCGGCCGTGGCGTGCTCGGCGAAGCGCACGTAGGCCCTGCCGCACGGCCTGCCCTGCGCGTCCCGGCTCAGCAAGAAGACGATCCGGTCCACGGGCCAGGCACGCCGCTGCAGCCACGCGTCCAGGGTCTCCTCGGAGCTCACGGCGACCGGCAGGCGCCGCATGAAGACTTCCCTGTCGGCGCGGCTGGGGGCGACGTCTGGACGTCGAGGCATGGGCAGCTCGTCCACGAAGACGGTCCGCCGCACGCGGCGAGGGCCAGCAAGGGCCATCGCTGCCACCAGGGGCGCCGTAGACGTGCCTGCCCCTGATGGGGCGGGGGGGACCGCCGGCCGACGGCTTCGTCGTCGAAGGCGGGGGGGCTGAGAACGAAGTGACCACAACCGAGGGATCGGTATCGCGTGGCGAAGCTGCTCGAGGGCGAACACGTGTCGGCCAGGGCCAGGGCCGAGGATTGCTGGCCAGCGTCTTCCAATGCGTCCCATGCGATGCTATAGCCGCTGGCTCGTGATCATACTCGTGACCTCCCTCCTGCCAGTCCGTTTCCGTGTCTGGCTGAGTGGCTGCCTACCTCCCCGTGTCCATATCAGCCTCCGTCGCCCGAACGCGGAAACACACATGCCCGCCGAGAGCCCGATATCGTGCACTTGCAATGGAAAATCCCACCACCCCTCTGGGCGTGAGTGGTTTAAAGCGTTTCCTCTTCCATCTTCCCTCTTCCCCTTCAGGGAGGGGTCTACCCCTCCCACTATCCCCTCTTCCTGGGTTTGGAGTGGGCGGGGCGTCCAAGAGGCCACGGCGAGAAGGCCAAACTCAATTGATTTGACTAAGGTTTTGGCCACATGTTGGCCACCTGGGGGGAAGGATCCTAATTAAGGAGCCCCCTCCCTTGATCGATCTCCTCCAAGATGGCCCTGAGAGTGCCCCAAAACGGTCGCATGAGGTGCAAGGAAACACCACATTCCCCCAAGAGGCACCCAAGATGCCCCCAAGAGGCTCCTATGAGACCCCAAAAAGGCCCCCAAGATGACCCCAGGATGGACCTCGAGGCTCCCAAGAGTGCCCCAAGAGAGCCCTAAGAGGCGCCCTGGAGCCCACCAGGGGCCCCCAAGATGCCCCCAAGATGCCTCCAAGAGGCCCCTAAGAGACTCCCAAGAGACCTCCAAGAGGCCCGAAGAGGCTCCCCCGAGGCACCCAAGACGCTTCAAGAGGCCCCCCAGGGACCGCCAAAAGGCCCTCAAGAGGCCCTCAAGAGGCCCCAAGAGGCCTACAAGAAGCTCTCAAGAGACATCCGAAGAAACTCAGAGAGGCATCCACGAGGCCTCTGGCCTGGCTGCTTGCCCTCCTCCTCATCCTCTTCCTCCTTCTCCTCCTCGTCCACCTCCTCCTCCTCATCCTCCTCTTCCTCATCCACATTATCCTTCTCCTCCCTCACCTCTCCTCCTTCCTTCTATCCTCCCCGTGCTACTCCTCCTCCTCCTCCTCCTCCTCCTCCTCCGCTGGTTCCTCCTCCATCCTAACTACCCCTCTTGGGGTATGCCGACTCCCCAGCCTTTATTCCGATGAGTTCTTCCCCACCTGCCAGATTGTGTGCGAAGCGTCTAGAATAGTTGTCCTGGTATCGGCCTCTCTACGTGAATTCTCTGTTCTATCCCTCTCCAACTGTGTATGTATACATCTATGTGTTGAGCAAGGATTGCGGGAAACGTCTGAATTGAGTCGTATGAACTACGTTTTCTTATACAAGGGACCGTCGTACGATTGACTCACTGCTTTCCCGACGCATCCTTTGAGACTGCCAAAGACTGGCCCCGAGGCCCCCGCTGACGACCGCCATTCCGGCCAAGATCTTCCAAACACGGCAAAGCAGCGCTTCCGAGGCTCCCGAGGAAGCTTCCAGCAGGCCCTCGAGAAGCGAGAAGCATCGAACAACCGAGTGAGGTTGAGTGATCCTGACCTGCCCAAGAAAGGCTCAAGACCGCCTCCGTTGTGACCCGGACCGCCCTCGGGCGGCTCCAGACGGAGCTTTGGCAGTGCCGAGCTGCTCACTGGATGCCATCGCCGAACCTCGATCAATCCTCTACCCACCTCCATACACATGCCCCTTCCATCCCATCCTTCTACTGGTTCTGCTCCTCCACCTCCTCCTCTTTCTCAAACTCTTCTTCCTCCTCCTGCTCATCTCCCAGTGCGCGTGGACCTGGGTCTGTGCGGCGAAGCCGCCCACGCCCCCGCATTGAGCTCAAGAGCTGCGGGAAACGCGACGCCGGACGCGCTGGCGGCACGCTGGAGAGCTGTCCGACAACAAAGAGGTCGAACGGATGGAGCCGTTCGAACAATGATATCGCAAGACAAACTACAAGATAATGGAATCGCGGACGAACTTCGTGCGCGTGCTTCCGCAGAATACATCAGATTTTTTCCCGGAAAGGGCATAGGCCCAGGGTTCTCCTTTAGTATGTAAACAATGTCCCCCACGACCACACCCCAGCAAGACCACACCCCAGCACGACCACACCCCAGCACGACCTCACCCCAGCACGACCACACCCCAGCACGACCACGCCCCAGCACGACCACGCCCCAGCACGACCACGCCCCAGCACGACCCTACCCCTAGCAAGACCACACCCCAGCACGACCACACCCCAGCACGACCTCACCACAGCACGACCACACCCCAGCACGACCACGCCCCAGCACGACCACGCCCCAGCACGACCACGCCCCAGCACAACCACCCCCCAGCACGACCACCCCCCCAGCACGCACCACGCCAGCACGACCACCCCCCAGCACGAACACTCCCCAGCACGACCACACCGCCTTGGTTGAGTGGTTGCCTGTCGTCGTGGAATGTTTCGTGGGGTGTCTCGTGGAATGTTTCGCGGGGTGTCTCCTGGAATGTTTCGTGAGGTGTCTCACGGAATGTTTCGTGAGGTGTCTCGTGGGATGTTTCGTGAGGTGTCTCGTGGGATGTTTCGTGAGGTGTTGCCCCGTTGGGTATCGTGAAAACGTGCCCATGCTCCACATGTCTATATCCCTTTCCGGGTTCGTGGGTCCATCATGTTTCTGCGGCGTGTTCATATATTCCACCTCGCATTCCTTTACCGTCTTTGTCGTAGTCACCGCCACTTTTAGTCGTTTGATTTGACTGTGTTCTTACATCTGCGCTGTCACTACTAGTCATCCCTCTCCTTGACCAACCATCGTGCATCGAGACACGAGTTTGAGTGTCATCAGGTCCTCTGCAATCCTCAGTCGTCAGGATTTAGGAAGTACGAGGCCCAAACCCCAAATTCCTATATCTCCTGGGGCCCCTGGCGTGCTCCCGCGGTTTTTCGGAGACCACGAGCGCCCCAAAACGGGCCAAGAGGGCCCCGAGAGGCATCCGAGACGGTCCAAGGGGGCTTCGAGTCGCCGCAAGATTGCTCCAAGACGCCTACTATGACCTCCAGATGGCTCGAGAGGCCTCCAATACGCTCCAAGAGAGCCCCAAGAGCCTTTCCAAGAGGGTTCCGAGGAGCAACAGGTATTGATTTTCCGAATATGTGTAAAGGACTTAAGCGTTCTTGTATTTTGTTGCTCCCCGACGCTCCAAGAAGGCCCAAGAGGCCCCCTATATTGCTGCAAGACAGCCCAAGAGGCCCCCAAGAGGGCCCAAAACGGCCCAAAAGGGCCTCAAGCCGGGTCCAAGAAGGGGAACACGGACTTACGTTTCGCGCCCCACGCCCCAAGAGGGCCCCTGACAGCATGCCCCCAAGATGCCCCAAGAGGCCGCCGAATGGCTTTCAAGAGGCCTCAGAACTGTGTCCAAGAGGCTCCCGGAAGGCCGCTCAAAAGACCCCACCAATCAGCCCAGGGCACTGACACACAATCCCAGGCACGGTGGCGGGTTGGGCCGCCGACAGCCATCAAGATAATGCTGCATATAAACTCTAGTGGCTGCTCCAATCGTTGCTCCCCGCATCCCCGCGATGACTGCACCTCTGCAAAAGAACTTCACCGGAAAGACCTTCATCCGGGACCCAACCGCCAGCACCCGGTATTGAAAGTGTCGTCCGACTGACTATCCGAAAATTGCCCCCTGAGGTAGTGGGGGTGGGCTGCTCCTCAAGATGGCCAGGCCAGGCTGGTTCACCTCCGCAGCACTCCGACTGCACGTCGCAAGGAGGCACAAGACTGAGGGAACAAACTCATACCGACGCCGATTCATGGGCGGCCAAGAGGGGGGGGGTCCACGAGGGGTGGGTGCAAATCATGACCGGCGGCATGTGCGCGGCCCAGCGGGGGGGCCAGGGAAATAAATGAAACAAGAAGAGGCGCCATGAAATCTGGGGAAATATCATGGCCCACGCCATGATATCCCCCCCCCTAGTCATCACCCCCCTCTCTTCCGCCCCCGACCGATGCTCTATGGACCTCTCCCCAGGCGCGCTCTGACCAGGATTCCCAGCCCGCCGTGGCCACGAGGGGCATCCAGGAGACCCCCAAAAGGCAAAGCCACAAGCAAGGCTAGTGGGAACGGTCCCCCATCCCCGCTTTGGTTGTCATCACTCGGGTCTCCGGCGGCGGCCGCTCGGGACGATTCGGGCACCCCAGAACGCCCTCGGCGAGGCGCAGCTGCTGGAAAGCATCCCGAGGCTGGGACACCGCCGAGAACAGACTGAGAGGTCCGCAAACTTTTCATCTCGAACCCCCTGAGCGGCTCGCGTTTATCCCCCCATCGTTGCCCCTGGGTAGCGGCATCGGCACGGCAAGGAGATCTGGTGATGCCCCTGGCGTTGATTTCTGACGCCGCGTGGATCTCCCCCCCCCCCCCCTGTTGCACCAGCTACCCTGGGCGTCTGCAGACTACCCTGCCAGCTCCCCCCAGCTGCAGCCCCCCGGCAGCCGCTTCTGAGTGCTGGCCCGGCCGTCTCGCGCGTGGCTCGGTAATAAAATTAGACTGGACCGTGCCCCGGACCCCCCTCTCGGCGACTGCTTTACGCGTCCGCCCGCTGACCAAAAAGGATCTCACCACCCTGAACAGTGGGCGTTTGCTATCGTCAGGTAGTTCCCTTCTGGCCCATTCTGGGCCACTGGCGACACTCCACTTCACAAACGCGCGCGGCGGGGTCGCCGCCGCGCCGATGCGGCGCGATCCTGCCGCCCCGCTCCCTCCTCTCCTCCTCCTCCTCCTCCTCCTCCTCCTTCCTCCTCTCCTCCTCCTCCTCCTGCCTACCATCCTCCCCCCTCCATCCTTCCTCCATACTCCTCCTCCTCTACCCTCCTCCTCCTCCTCCTCCTCCTCCTCCTCCTACCTCC